TGCGATGTTATATTGTGGTGTGTTATGCTTCATATGTTATGTTATTTATTCTTATGTTATGGTTATGTTATGTTATGCCAAGCACTAAGCTAAACTCCCCTCCACTTAACCCATTCCAACTATCATAAACTATCCGTAATTTTATCGGTTGAATTTCAACCGCTGGGCGAACACTAGTAGTAATAAATGGAAATAGCTTTCTTTCGGCACAAAAATGTCTTCATTAAATGTCAAAGGCTTTCAGGCAGGTTAATTGTACTCGGAATATTTAAACAATTTTGTTTTAATTTAACTATGCTTTTAAAAATTCTTTTTCGTTGAATGCATTAACTAAAGATTCTTTATCTATGATTACAACTTCATGTCTGTCTCTTGGTATGAATAAATTCAAGCTTAATTAATTCTCCTAATCAGTTCATATTAAAAATCAATATCTTCCCAACACTGTCCAAAAAATTATTTTAACAGCCTAAAAGAAATGAAAGTTCTTTTATCTTTAATTTTTTATTATCTTCTGATTTGTGATAATATAGCCATGCGGCTTATTTTTACATTAAGCTTTTACGGAGATTTTCTCTGACCTACTTCGTTATTTTTATTACTCTCTGTGATTTGGGTTATCTCATAAAATCATATATTTTCAAGTAAAATTCAATAAAACCGAAAATCGCCTACCCGGGGACAACCACCATTGTAGCTACAAAGTTACATATTTCCAAACTCAATAAAAGTTTCACGGCTACCACAATGACTCCTATCACTATTGCTTAGGTTTCTGAAGCTGCTCTGTTTCATTTCCCTGTGCAAACATATTTTTGTGTTTTTATTGTTGACGGGTCCATAAACATGTGCTGAATTTGAGGCTGGCGAACAAACAAATTGCATGTAGTCACGCATTAACACAATGTTTCAGCGAAACGAAAAAATATATGTATATATAGTACACGCTGTACGTACATTTTTATAACCGCACTAGTGCTATACATTGGACAGTTGTGCTGGGCGGGCGGCCAACGGCAAAAACATGTCTTCGCAAAATTTACGACATCAAATAATTCTCCAGTGAGTCATATAGCAAAGGCAGTGAAAGCTCATAAAGACGCAAGAAAAATTGTAGCAAAATGCTGTAAAGAGGGCAAAAAAGTGGAAGGGGATACAAAAAAAAATATCAGTGGCAAGAATGCTGCTATATTGCTGTTGCTATTTTGATAGAGCATTTCCTGTCACTGTAGCTGATGCAGCAGCCCAAACGCAGACGGTGTGTGAATTAATTTTCTCAGCGGAAGGCAAACAAGAAAAAATGCAAACCGTCAACTAAAATGCACGCAATGAAAGTAAAAAAAAAAATAAAATTGAATGCCATGAAACATGAAATGGCGGAGAGCAGACCTGCAACAACGCGGTTAATAGTCAGTTACCTGCAAAAAATTCACTGCATTGAAAAGTGCAACATTATAAAGCGTAGTTAGACAGCTAACTGGCGCAACTGACCTCTTGGCAATTTTACCAGCAAAGCGTTTGAAAGGTGAGCAGTTCTAAGGCAAACCGTGGCAAGCTGGTAACGAAAGTCCCACCCACTACAGCGCAGCTACGTAACGGTCTGGGTGGGTTAAGTGCCGGTCAAGGTTACTGTCATTTGAGTCAAAGTAGTGCTTCTGATCGGTGAAGTGAAAATGAAGACTGAAACATACATACATACAATATGAAGCTGCTGATAAGAATGGACTGATGGGATTTTGCAATCAATTTGACAAGCTGCTGGCTTATTCACTTGATAGTTTTCGATATTAAATTTAGTTTAACCCCAATTGTATCGTGTTGAATCTTTGTTCGACGAGTAGCTGCAGCGGCTCAGCTATGCTGGCTATTTTGACGCGAAAAATTATGTGGATGAAGATTGTCAACGTTAGTTACTTTATATATAAAATAAAGGTAAGGGCAGGAACCCAGCAGGAAATGGAAGAGGTTTCTGGCTAACTTTTAACTACCCAGCAGTCTACTGGTTGTAACTTTTTATTACTTGCGTATTTGCTTCAGCCGTAGCTAACTACTGGTGTCCTCTGCATTAGGTGTTAACTAATTTGTAGCTAACTACTTTTTTTTTTTATCAATAAGAAAATATATTTTGGAGGGTGCATTTGAGCTGCAATTACGGCGCCAGTGTTACTTTCACAAGCGTTCGAGGAGAAAAATTTTTACTATTAGTTGCTCATCATTGCCAAATCAAAAGCAACAGAAAAATTTGTACTGCAGAATTTCTGCAGCATTTCAGAAGATTTTCTGTTGAGCATGAGCAACATATCATCAAGAAAGCAACAAAACTTCAATATTGCGGTAATTATTACGTAGCTCGAACATACCCAACATTTACACACCTTTATTTATTTACTTTCCCTGCAAGCCATGTTTTCACATCCGATCTAATCCGATTTTTTGCAGAATTTTCTAAAATGGATTAAACTGTGCACACTTCGATTCTTTTACGAAATTTTGTGAAGAAAATCCGTGAAGCAATAAAAATAATGCCGCTATGTGAAGAATTTCTTCTTTACGAGTTCGTGTCAACCACTTCATATAATTTTCTTTGGAGGTTCGTAAGAAAATCGTTACAGAAATGAGATACTCCTTGAGATTTCGTTAAGATTTCGGAAACTTTGGTTTGCAGGGTTCTTTAACATTTTCATTAACATTTCTTTAACATCTACGCTTAACGTGTAAAAAAAACAATCATGACAAATTCCATTTCCAACCAAGTAATTTTGATTATCGACAACTGCACATAAAGGGAGTGTTTCTTTATTCACTCCGGATCTAGAATAGAATAGTCGTAGTTTATCCGGAATAATGGGAATAAGGAAACATAAAATAATGAAATTATTAGGTATCTGCTAGAAAAGGACTTTTCGGTGATTTTTAATATTTAATATAATTTTCTAAAGTTTTTTTTCGTAAAACAATTTGCAAACACTTACTTTGTTTCTCTAGCGACATTATTTTCTTGCAATTGTTTACATTTGTATGTAGTTATGCTTACACAGCTGTTCGGCAGAATATCCTTTATTTCACTACAGTCTCTGGGATGTCGTATACCACCAAAATAAGGAGGTGCCAAAATGCTGCAGTTTCATTATACCCGTTCAAAAGTATAGAAATACCCAATAATCATAACTGCACAAACAAAACTAAATAAATTAATTGAATTGCAGAATACACTATAATTTTTATTTAACTAAAAATTTTTTTTACACATTTTGCCGAAAATAGTTTTGTAATACATAGCCGAAAAAATAAGTATTTAAGTGTTTTGATTATTCGATTGTGAGATGATTAATAAGAAACTAACGATGCAAATAACATTTATAAAATGAGAAAACAAAATTTATTATTATTATTATGCTAAATTTCTATCTATGTATTTGTTTATATGCATTTAAGTGCATTATGTATGCATGCAGTTGGGCGTAATTAAAAGCTATGTGTTATTAGACAATTATATGAGTACGACTCCTAAAAATTTTCGAACGCCTGCGATCAATATTCACAATTTCACCGTTCTCTTTCAAATCTCTCTCCGCTGGGCGATGCCATTGAATGTTGTTTGTTATTTTGCTATTGACGAGGCGTCGGTGTCTTAATTGCTTTGTTCGTAATTATAATTACAGCATTGTATGTTTATTTGCGAAATGCTGTCTCACTTTAATTCATCCACACACGTTAAGCTTCTTAACAAACCTAAAAGTATCTACATCCATATGTATGTACATGCAACCATAGCTATAGTTAGTTGGTTCAGCATATTATTGCTTTCTTCCTATTCTGCTACTGTGACACTTTTTTTTGTTAGTATCCACCGGACGTGTTGAACGGGATAACTTTCCCATATCACTCACATTTCATGCACACAATAGTCTAGACGGCAAGTTATCCTTTAGGGCTTTCTGCTTTTCGATTAGATTTAATAGTTGAGAGAGTAGTGGTAGATTGGCTTGATAGTTTAAGGAATGGAAAGTTTTTACAAGGGAGACACTTGAAAATATTTTCGTTTTATCTTTGGTATTTTTGTGTTTTTTTTTTGTAAATTTTTTTCATAAATAAGTTGAAAACTTTTTGCTGCTTTGTCATTAATTGTTGCACTACTACAAAAAGCGCATAACAGTAAAATTTAAGTACACTTTCGAAATTAAAATTTTGGTTTAGGTTTACAACTGAATAATGATGGATGATCCTTAAGGGAACTGGAGGCAATTATTTGATAAAGGGAGAGCGTTATGACAGTAGTAACTAAAGTATATATAGACTAAGGGAGCAAGCGCATAATATAAAAATATCTGCTAATATTTTCGCTCAAGAAAAATAATATAGCGTAAAGTGTGAAGAGTTGAAAATTTAATTTTTCTCGGCCGAGTGAAGAGAAAACGCGGAACATATCAATAAAGCTATCTATGTCCGACTGTAGTTAATAGTATTGCACCATTCTTTTCTAATCGCCTCCTTTTACAAAGCCTCAGCCGAGACACACGCGGATTTGTGTCTACTTATGAAATGAAAAATTGGAAAAAACTAACTTACTAACTTTGAGAATTTTATAAGCGTGAAAAGTATTGCTAATGGAGTTGTTGTTTCGACTGTGGTCTATAAGCAAAGAGACTACTATTATTTGGGTATTCAATTAACTGTTTGGGTGCGCTCTTTGTTGAATTTTTTTTAAACTTTCTATAATTTTCTATGCGCACCACTTTTCTACACTATTTTTGTTATTTGAATTTCTTTCTTCACTTTCTTGCGTTGTGATTCTCTCTACGTAATACTGCAATTCTCTCTGTTACGCTCTGCTTTTGTGTTAATCCTAAAAATTTGTTTTCAAATATTTGTTATATTTTCATCCTAATGTGTTCGTGTATTGTCGCCTTCGTTGTTTGTTTCGTTGATTGCTATGCTATGGGGATGTGGATTCGGCAAAAGGCGAAATTTTGGTTGTTTAAATTTTTTTGATTACACGATTAATAAACGATCAACAAATTATTCTCGTTGAATCCGGCCGAGTGGCCTGCATTGCGTACGATGAAGCACGAACCATCAAAGTGCATACGTTTCTCGTTGCGACTGTGAATAGATAAACAAAAGGCTTTAGTTCAAGTAAAAGTAAAAAATAGTATAACACAAATTTTAAGAAAATTCTAAGAGGTTTGTATTTGCATACGTATGTCTAAATGTGAAGCTCAGAAAAGTTGGAATGGATTATAGAATATAAGCTGATCTGCGCACCGTGTGTTTGCCAGAAAAATCTTGATCTGATATTTGTCTGTGTAATCGAGGTGATTAAAAACGAGCTTTGATTGAGATTATATTTATGTGTCTACTTACTTTATGTTATTATGTGAACGCTGTACAAAAAAGCGCCTAACGATATGTTTACACAGTAAAAAGTTAATAAAAGGACAGTTCTGTAAAAATCAGGTCATTAGGCGGGAAAAGAAAAATCAGTCGGAATACTTGAACTCGACCCTGAAATTAGGACATATCCTGATAAATCAGGACGTCTGGTCACCCTAATTTTAAGTGGTGTTTCAAATGAATTGCTTAAAAGTATTTTAATATGTCTATTTTTCAGCTTTTGTTTTGTGGGATTCAACTTTTTTCTAGCGGATTTTTATAAAAACCTGGATTTGTTTACTCGAAAATAGTTAGCAGCACTGCCAGGAACATATCAATATAAATTAAATATATAATAAATTGAGATGGAGCGCTTTAGAACTATTTTCTGAGGTAGGGCATTCTTTATCCAAAGTCTGAAATGGGGCATTTTTCTACCGTTTACTGAAATAGGGGGCTTCCGAAACGCCAGCGCAGGTGCGGAAAACAACTTTAAAGGCCGACCAATTTATTAAATAGGACAAAAAAAATCAATTTTAGGGGCAAAAGGAACAATTTTCAAAACAGTCAACTACAAAAGAAAATTTTTAGTATTAGGGTAATTCCAAAAACAAAACCTTATTTGTTCAAACATAAATAATAACTAAGCTGTAGTTGGGATGTGCGTCGAAAACGGGAAGCTCCTGCTCGTCAAATCCAATACCAACACGTCGCCTTCCGCCTCAACTTGCGAGACTCCTAAAACTTCCTGCTCAACTACAGCTGAAGTGCACCAGCGCGCTGCTCCCAGTCCGGGCCTCAGTGCCGGTGCTGTTGATGTAAGATCAATTAGCTCCGGCCCGCAAATTCCGATAATAAATTTTTCACTTTCGCGGACGGCACCACGGTGCACACAAAGAAACACCATAGGGGTATTCTCTGAGTTTTGCAAAGCCCTTGCATGGTGCACAAATTGCACGGATTGCACGGATTGCACGGTAAAAACCGGTTTTCGTATGGGACAGCTTTGCAAACCGTGCAATCCGTGCACCGTGCAAGGGCTTTGCAAGACTCAGAGAATACCCCTCATGTCTTTTCCCATCGTCATCCCAGTGCACAACAGATGTGCAGCGATAAGGGAAAAAGGCGACGTCCCTATTGTGGTTTTCGCGTCATCTCTTCCTCCTATTTTTTACTATTGGTCGCTAACGATATATACATGCAGTGAAACTGCTATCTTATCAACCCACAGTAGTGACTAAGGGACTTAAAATATGCCCAGCTCCGCCGATGGCAGTAATCAGCTGAATAAGTGTTTATCATAATTTTCCGAGGCTTACGGCATAGATTAAACAAAATTTAGTTTAGGAGCAATAACCGAACACCAAAATAGTAGCCTTATAGTTCATTTCCACCAAGCCTTAACTGCAGTTTAGTCCTATTGAAATAGGGTGACTACAACTTCAAGGGGGGTAATTGCTCATGCTAAGTGCAAGCAAACAAAAGTAAAAAAGCAAAAAGTAAGAAATAAACCCTACCTTACCTGACCTCTTAACTGCAGTTAAGCCTTTACTGGAACGATATCATGCTCATACTTGTCGGATTTTGAAACTTTTACATCATTATTTTACCATTCGCGATTTGCGACAAATAACGGTACTCTATTAAGCCATTTATAACTTACCGAACAAACAAATGCGATGTTTTGCCCAAAGAGGCTGTGCAATGAATTCCCGGAGTAGTCAAAGTGGCCGAACCATTACCTGGACTGGTGCGAATCAAGCACTTGTTATGCGTGCGTGTTAACCTTAAAAAAAGGCAAAAAAGTAAAGTTCATAAAACTTTGAGATAAATCATATAAAATTAATTACTTCACGAGCCCATCAGCAGCTTGAGTGATACGGAAGCCATTTATCTCGTAGATTTCAGTGCCTTCATCGGTGCATGAGTATGTGGAGTTTTGTATAACTTCATTAGCATCTTGCACATAGGATGGACCATGGCGCGAGTCACTAAAGTGTGCAAAGTATCAAAAGGATTTTTTTTAGCAAAAATATCAAAGTGGATTTAGTAGTTTACACGCACTCATAAAACACCGTCAAAGTGTAGTCCTTCGTGAGATCAGTGAAGGTGTCGGTGGTGGTGCGTGTGCCAGCTGTGTCGACGAGATAGATCAACGCGCAAGATTCGCTGGTGAAACTCACGCCCTTGTACCACATTTTGGCATAGCGGCTGCGAAGGAGTAACAATTAATTACTTGGATTTCATTCAAATTAATTAGCTTACACATAGTTGTTGGTCTTCATGCCGTCATAGGTGACAATCTCGACCTTGGAGCCGCTTTGCAATATGCGTCCATTTGGATGGATTAGCGCCGAGTTGCTGCAATTGCGTGACAATGCAATGGCCACCATGCTGCGTTGATTCAGAACGCGTACAGCTTTGTCCAATGTCATATCGATGCTGTTTTTTGGCAGAAATTTAAAAAAAAAATTGATTTAAAAAACTCTCCTTCTATTTTTGTAAAAAGTAGATTTGGCAGACATTGCGCTTTAACAACTAACCGTATTCCATCGCGCAGACGCAGCTGAATGGTGCCGTTAGTCATAGCAATTGGACCCGCTCCTGGGCAGGGTGGTGGTGTGGGGTTCTCGTACTCGGCACCACGGTGACTACCGCTCAAACGCCCCACAGCATAAGGTGGTGGCGGCATCGGTTGAGGGAATTGTTGGGCATGATGCGAAGGTGACATTGCAGTCGGCTGTCAAAAGGGTTAATTTTAGAGAAATTTCATTATAATAGACTAAAGTAATGCGCATGGAATTTGTTAAGCGATTTTTCAAAGGATAACGCACTCCTTCATTTGCGATATGTTGCCAAAACACATCCATATTGCATGGATAATTTTGTTGTGGAGCACTTTTACTTTTGAAAGGGAAAATTATCTCCACTGGAAACTATTCGTTACCAGTTAGCCTTCCACCGCCCTAATCCAAAATCGAAATCTGTAGCGATTAAAAATCGATATCCATAATGATAACCTTACCGAAAAAAGTCATACCAAACTTTGTGGATATCTATAGCGGCTACGATAAAAATAATGTTATCGATAACGATTTCTGTTACATTATCGATAACAACAGCGATGACGCGATTACTACAATCAAAAATGAATCCTTTGTGAATTTATGCATGCTTGTGTAAGAATTAAAAAAAAAAGCTGTGGGGTAAAATATATTAGCAACTTTCCTTGTATCGCATTAGCTTAACCTTAAAATAGAAAATCTGGAATTTCACAACGGTCGTTTAACTTATAAATTACAAAGATACTTATCGGAAAATCTCCTTCTTTGCAACTAGAACATGACCAAGACTTAGAATTGAGTCGATTCTGCATTTCTGTTAGGTTTTTTTTTAAATAATTTGCCATTGGGAGAGGTATAATCGCTAAACCGATGGACAGCGAAAATGAATGCACCTACAATATTTTGTATTTAAGTTTTTAAATCTTTTTATTTATTCATTGTAACTTTTATTAAAACTTAAAAAAAAAGAGTCCATACCGAACACCTTTCCTTTGTCATATTCGCTTAACTTCGAAAATATTAAAGCCTTCAAATCTCGAGGGTTCTAAATTTACACATTGACGAAATACTTTAGCATATGGCTTACCATGCGGCAGATATCGTTCTCAAATCCGTAAATCGGCGATGGTGGTGGCGCTACAGGATAGCGAGCGTTGAATACGCCCCTTGTCATGCCACCACTGCGTCCCGTTAATGGAGATTCATAGCCGCCGTAGTGATGCGGTGAGGCAGCACTCATGTGCACCGGAATGGACATTTGACGCGCCTGGAGTGCGGCCGATGGTGTGGACGTCTCCTTCGGTGTCATGCCGCCACCACCAGACCCGGTATTGCCGGCAGAGACCAATGAGCGTTGTTGCTGTGAAACAAACGGAGCAGCGCTGGCATTGAAGCGAGACTGCAAAGCAAAAATAAAAAAATTAAGAGCAAAATAATTTCGCAACAGAAGAGTTGCTTAAGAGCGCCCTTGACAAAGAGAATGAACAAACAAAAATTGTAACCAAAACAAAAGCTGAGAGCGTAATTCCGAAAAATGCGGCTTGACAATCAGCTGACAGATATCGACAGCCAGCCATTTTTATGCGTCTGACAGCTGATTGACGTGCATTGCATATATATATATTTTTTTCTTGCTTGCACGGGGCAGATGAATTTCCGCTGTCAGAAATTAAATCGAAACAACTGACACATCTGATTTCCGGCGCTAGCTGTCATTCATGTCATTGCCAAGAAAAGTGTGGATGTTAAGGCAAAAGTGCTGACTCACCGATGATGGCGTTATGGCCGTGAAGACAGAACGTTGGCGCACTCCATTCGGGGCCTTGGTGGGCGAGCGTAGAATGTTATTGATCTTCTCATTCATATTGACGCGTGCCAGGAAGTCTTCGGTGTTAAAGCCAATGACGCTGCTAACCGGCAGCGATGGGGTTTTCGGTGTTTCCGGTTGCACTGGCTTCGGTTTCTCCTCCACTTGATCCTTGGTGCTTGCATTTATCTCCGTTACGTTTTCGGAATTCATTTTTTACGCAATTTCCTAATAAAATTAGCTGCTTACTATTCTGCTCAGCAATGCTACTGGAAAATTCCTGCTTTTGATAGATGAAGATGAAGGCGATGGGATGGGATGTTGTTCCCGGGCGTGATGCAACACGGTGTTTCTGTGTGTATGTGTGTGTGTGTGTGTGTGTGTAGAAGCGTTTGCTGCTGATACGCGAACGCGAAATTTTTGTACTTTCCGTATCTTTGTAGTGTTTGACGGTCTGCGAAAATGATTTGCAAGCGGCGCGTTACGTTTTGCGTTTTTGTGAAAGAAAACTTTATTGGTACGTTACGGAGAGAGAAAAAACAGAAATTCGAATTTTTATTGCATGTGGCTGCGTGCGTAAAAAATTTTCAACTGAACAGGAAATGTTGAAAATTTTTAAAGTTGGAAAAAAATTTTTTTTGTCAAAATGACTTTTGTTGAAATAAATTTCAAAGGTTGCTACACAATTTTGAAAGCTGTGGCCAATGCAATTTCACTTATCGGCGTAGCAGTGTCGAGTGGCATGGCGTGGAACAGCTGATATCGGGGCGCAGCTGTTTATTGTTGATAAAATGCGGCTGGGGAAATTTGTGGATGACAGAAGCACATATGGAAAAATTCTCAGCTGAAATTGCTATGAAAACAAAAGTGTGTGTGCGAGTGTGTTTTCGCTATTTTGAAAATGTATATTCGCTGCTGTTTACAAAAAGAACACTGCACAGCACCGCTGTTAACGTTTTGTGTGCATAAATTTAGGCGCAAGGTTTTTATTTTATGTAGTTAACAGATGCAAAGTCGAAAAACATGAATGTTAAGTCTAGGAAGTCTAAAGTAAGTATCAAGTTAATACTAAAATAGATCATGACGTTATCAGAAATGGTACTTTTCGTACGTGTCGCTCTAGGAAGTTGAGTAGTTGAGTGTGCTGCATGCATTTGCATGGAGAGCGCCAGAAAGGCAATCCTTGCTACGACTCAACTTTTGACGCAAGTAAGCGCGGCTGATTTTTGTTTTCATACGCAATACCTCTACGTTACGTACGCTACTTCCTTATGCCTGGGTTATAATGGTGGGAGTGTCAAATTTTAGAAAAAGGCTACTTACAAAACCTTTAATAATTGAATAAGTAAGCCGAATTTTTAAATATATACATAAGTTCTTCAATTATGATTTTTTCACATATGGGTCAATCCATGTCAAATCGACCAATGTAGATCAAAAGTAGTTTTTCGTACTTACAAAATTAAACTTTGTGTCCTTGGTATTTGATAAACAAAACTTCAAACCAAGCAACGGTGTCTTCTGTTTTTGTAAAAAAATTAACAACAACTGCTTAGCAGGCGGTGAAAGTCGTTATCTGTGAGTGAAATATCGGAAACGATTTTGTATGCTGTTTTTAGCTATTTACGAACAATCATATTTAATTAATATTTACCTAAAAAATTAACCAAACAGAAATAAATAGAAAAGTAATTAAATATAACTGTTTTCTTTTATATATATGTATATATATTTTTTTTTAGTGAAAAATACATACTTCCGATGTACCCTGTAATTAATATATTTTTTTCTTAAAAATGATATTTGAATATGCTTTTAAAATGTATTGCCGTATTTGCCCGTGTTCAGACTATCAAAGATTGAAATGGGGTTTTTCGAGGTACTTATTATACTGCGGGTAGTGAACTATTTACCATTTGAAAGGGGAGAACTCAATAAAGAGAGGAAATGCAAATCTGTTTAAAATTTTGTTGCTACAAAGGCTGCTCCATTTCACTTTTCAGCAGACAAATTAGGAAATTCAGGGCATTTATGTTTTCAATTGAAATTAATATATTTTGGCAATGTTTTTTGTTTTTTAATTAGCCACTCTATAAATTGCATTTGTACTAGGTATAATTTTTTTCTTCAATATACATATTAAAAAAATAAAACTGCATTCAAACATTAAAAAAAAGTGGCCCCTTATGACCCATCGGTCGCCAATCAATAAAAAAATTATTAAGAAAATGAGCAATGGCTGGAATTGACCATTTTTGATTTGGATAAATTTTAGTCAGAACTTTTCTTTTATCATATAACGAAGTTCCACCAAAGAAAAAACAAAATACAAAATTCGGAAGTTAAAACTTTCAAAATATCACGATTTCACGGATTTTTCAAATGTATTTTTCTGATGCAAAAATAGTTATGGTCTCATTTCAAAGAAGATATTTGTTTGTACACAACCCAATATTACAAAAAAAAAAAATAGAAAAATAACAGAAGTCTGAAATTTTAGAAATTGTAAGTGCAAAAACTTGCATACATTTTTTTTATAATACTTCTAACTGATCTTAAAATATCCTGACATTTTCAAGAAGGTGTTCTTTAAAGAGATATATGCGTTTTCGAACATTGAAAAAAACTTTTTTGCGAACTCTAAATTAAAAATAAATTTAAACTAAATACAATTTTTTTAACATATGTAACTTCTTTAAGAGTTGAAAAAAAAAAATTTCTTTTTCAAATACAAAAATTCATATCTATCTTTAAAAAAGCACCTTCTGGAAAATTTGAGGATCTCTTAAGATTTCCGAATTTTTTTATTTCAAAACTCTATAAATTTTCATATTTTATCGATATTTTTTAAAAAATTTTTTTATAGCCCCAAATATCACCTTAAAAACGAGACCAGAACCGTCTTTGTTAATATAAGAGTTTATTTGTATTTACCAGATTAACTTTTATTTAGTCTCATTAAGAATAATGATCCATTCTCAAGAAATTATGTGAAAATGAGGCAAATACTTCGAATATTTTGTTTTATATTACCTTTTTTTTATCAAAAATACATGAAATGTGCCGTTATGAATTAAAATGAAGATTGAACAAAGGACGAATTTCGCATAAATACAGCCGCTTCCAACCGATTGTAATTTCAATATTCATAAAAGATGATCCTTAACCACATTCGGCATTCAAAAGTTGAACTTAATTGCCAACGATATCATTTAATTTGATTGCGATATAATCAGAGTAAAAGGACAAGGTATAAAGCAATACATACATATGTAATGCCAAAGACAATGAAAGCGACGTGGAAATGTCAACAACTGTCAAGTGCAGCTACATAAGAACTTCATACAAATGTACATATGTATATATGTATTTCACGGGCATTCAAGCACTGCTAACAACTTCCGCAAAGCCTTTCGTTGGTATGAAACTGAATCGTTGTCAAACAAGGACTTTCGCCATTGTTCAGGACTCAAAAGTGCTCAGATCCCAGCTAGCACATTTGCCAGACAATTTCTGATATCAGATAAGTCGGAATAAAATGTTGACAATTTAGACAAGTCTTACAGGTTTCGTACCGATTTCTGGGCGTAATGTCTGGAGAATTTCATTTATTTCCTTATCCGATATATCTGATCGAATTATGTCCGTTTTCGGGCATACACGTCTGATAATTCTTATTTTCCATGATTATTTGGTCAGACCTCTTTTAGATATCTGTCAGAATCGTTGGTAATTAAGTCAGAATTTCCCACGTCGTGTCGGTTAGACTTCCTGTCCACCTCTGCATACGCTTCTCTGACCGATATCGGCCAAACTCATACAGATTTCTGACCTTTTTGCGGACGAGTCTGACGGATATCTAACAGATTTCTGGCAATTTTGATAGCTGGGATACAACTTAGGTATGCAAATGGATATGTACATACATATGTATGTACGTACGTAAGGTACCACCATAATATTGAAATTGACTTTCCTTTTATGGTGATTACTCTGGTTATGACTTTTGATACTGAAAATGACCATACATGAATACCTTCATATGTATGTATGTATGTATGTGTGCACAATATGTATGTTTATATGTACAACGATGTGATTACGAATATACTATTTTAATGACATTTATGGTGCGATAGCATATGCAATTTTTGTTATTGTAAATACATATTTATTGGCGATGATTCAAGGTATTTGGTGGTTTGACTTGTAAATATGGTTACAAAATTGCTTTGTATATTTATTTATAAATACAAATGTTATAATCAACAATAATACAGTCTTTTTCAATTCAGTCTATAATATCAAGCTTAATATCTTAGCTAAATGTGTTTAGGTAAGGTCAACTAAGATTATACTTACGCGCTTATCACTCAAACTGACAAAATTATAAAATTTGGGTAAAAGTGCTGAAATATTTTTTGTTTTAGTTAACTGAAGCCTAGGAAGTAAGAATTTGCTAATGCCAAGTTAATTAAACTTTTAGCTTCCGCACCAGTTGAGAAAAAAGAAAGGCTTGGCGATTAAGGTATAAATAATAAAGGAAAGTGTTTGATATTTTTTGGCTTTGATTTTCATTAAAATGCATTTATATCAGTAGGGATTGATGAAAGCATCAATCAAAGAAAAGATGAGTTAATCCGATAGGTGGCGCAGGAGTCCAAATATTTGAAAAACCCGTATTTATAGTCCAATTTGGTTCATATTTAGAACATATATTAACTACATGAAAAGGAATATCTGTAGAAAACATTTTGCTGATAGGTGGGGCATGAGCCGATATATTAGGTAAATCGGTATTTATGGTCCGATTTCGTTCATATTTACAAAGCTTGTCTTAAAAATATTTGTTTTTACTAATAACTTATTTGTTCTAAAAACACATCCATTGGTTTTCGGCTCTATGAAAAATAATAAAAAACAATGATATGCTTAATTAGAATTTGAAAACAATGACGAAAAAGATCAAAGTCGAAAATGCTAGTTTTGACATAAACAGGCAAGGCTGCCTTCAGGCCGCCTTTACATTTTCTCATCTAAACCACGATTGGTTTTCTTTTCATAGGCACAGAGAAAACACAGCTAAGACAGACACTTTCTCGCATTAACTATTCAATTTTGGAACGAATCTATCCAATATAACTTGGTTATTTAATCTTTAAAATTTGACTTTCACTGGAATATATTTTTGAGGATAAATGACTATACCCTGA